CTCAATATATCATTGGCCATATGGCTGCATAACTTAAATGCCGGAGAAGCCAAAAAAAAAAAAAAAACCAATTACAATTGGTTAAAGGAAAGAAGAAAGTAACTATATATATTTTTTCTATTGATTGCATAATATGAAACGATATTTTTTTACTTTTTATTATTTTATTTTAGGTTATGTAATTCAAATTTAAAATTTTTTAATTTTAATAAAAAAAATATTATTAAATTATTTAAAATGTTAGCAAGAAAGAAACTATATTAAATATAATTTATCATACCTTCTGCAATTTTGCCGAGATATCCCTAATCGAGGAAACAGCAAGACCTGCATGGATGAACTATGATATCTCGACCTCTACCATCTATTTGTTGAGTAACAAACTAATTCACCAACATTAATCTATTCACAAACCATAAAAAAGGTAGAAACAGTCAAATCAACCCCACTGAACACGATAAGAAGTTCGAGCCACCATAAAACAAAGCAGTAATATATAAATAGGTGAAAAAAATGGTTTGAGCAAAATGTTAATAACATAACATATGATTGGTAAAGACAGACGCAATATCAGGTCCCAAAAATAAGAGCACCAAATAACCTCGTGTCCTAAGCATTGCAATGCTTCTTTCTTCATATAAGTACCCATTCAATTCACATCTTGTACTTAAGTTCATTCAAAACATTGTCAATATGTAATGAGATAAAACTTCAAGAATGATACAATTTTAAAAGAAAATCATCAAATAAATTTTTCTTATTTGATAAAAATGATATATAACGTAAATGGTTTCCCTCACAAACAAAATTTTTTAACATAACGTTGTACAGCTCAGAGATTAGAAAAACAAAACCAAAATAATGCAGTAAAAATTACAGTTATATATCTATATAAAATAATAAAAAATTAAATCAAACCTTTTGTCAACTCTTAACACAAAAGTTTCCCCAAAATCTTATGGAGACATATAATTAAAGAAATTCTTTTAGATTAACCCAGTCATGATTGTTATTTCCAAGAGCAAAGCACTTCATGGTACACGATGTCTGGGGCCATGTTAGAAAATCTTCCGCAACCAAAATTTCCACAATGGTTAGTAAGGTTCAAATTTCAACATAGAATTTTTTTTTTTTTGGGGTAAATGAGGATGATATCATTAAACTATGCACACAAAACAGAAAACACAAGTTGTTCTTGAGGATGATATTAACGGGACAATGAGGAACAACAAAATCCTGCTGTAGTGAATGTCCCATTCTAGCAATTTGATCGGCAGCCATGCTCGAAATTTCAACATAGATTACACCAAGTGAAATTGCTGCAAAAAAGACATTGATATAGTGAGTTATCCTCTAATGCTAATGAAAATATAAAGATGCGTATGACACGGTAAACAAAACATATCGCCGGGCAGTAGGTTGTTTTAATTTTAAGTGGATTATTGAAGCCGTCCGCCAATGAAACGCCGCCGTAGGATTCTGTGGCACCGACATCGTATTTAAGAAATCCATTCCCCGCACTCGAGGAGGTCTTGAATCTATACTATGCCCCTAGCCCTAGATTTTATTTACAACTTAAAACGATGGCAATCCCTCACCGCGCCGCTTATGCACTGAGCTCCGAACAGTAAAACAGCAGAAAAGGTCTGTTCTTGTAGCCATGGCGAGGGCCTTCTTGACGCAAATTCTTAACGACATCCCGTTTCCATATCACCCGCGACATCTCCTCTTCTTCCTCTTGCTCTGAAGCTCTCCCTCCCCCTTCCATTCCCTCTCCCCGCGGAGTAGTCGTTACCGGTACGGTAATACCCACTCCACTTTACCGATTCAATGCTTCAATGAGTTTATTGTTGTTCGCGTGTTTTGGCATAGAATTATTATTGTTGGGTGCTGGTCTGTTTCAGGTCTGGGGTTGGTGACTCCGCTTGGTTGCGGAGTGGAAAACGACATGGAAGCGGTTGATAGAGGGCAATTGTGGGATAAGGGCGATAACGCCTGAAGATCTCAAGATGGGTGCTTTTGATAGAGAGACACAGTTGCATATATTTGATCAGAGGACTTCTAAAGTTGCAGCGACTGTGCCTTGTGGAATGGGCTCCGGTGATTTCAATGAGGAATTGTGGCTTAATTCAAAGGTAATATCCTGATATGAGTCTTGAGTTTTTCTGTTTATCGGAATATAAATGGATGTTACTTCAATGATTTTTTTATGGTAGAATTTCTCCGGTTTGGGGATATAAGAGTTTAGATAGAAATTAGAGCTTTTTGATCCTTAGGAAATTCGTCATTGAAGTTGCAAATGCAAGTGGTTTTAGAGCTGAGCTTTTAGCTGTCATATTGCTGATGGAAATTAGGTGAAGCTTGACCTTAAACCGACTGTAAGATTACCATGGCTTTCCATGTCCTTCAGGGGTCTGAATAAGAAAGGGACATCCTTTGCATCTTTGGCAGTGATAGTACTTCTAGTTGTCTGGTGGTGAAATGCCAATATACTTAATTTAGTTTGGATACATGTGCAGTGTCCAATACCTTGCTGGATGACTTGTATTCCATGATTAGCTGTTGATTTTAATTTTTTTGAGGCTTACCAAGTATATTGAAATGATCGAGTTTATACATGTTATTAGTTCCTTGTGTCATCAACAGCAATCTTTTTTTCTCAGGAGCATCGATCAATTGCAAGGTTTATTGCCTATGCTCTTTGTGCAGGTGATGAAGCTTTAAAAGATGCAAGATGGCTGACCATTGAGCAGGAAGAGAAGGAAAGAACAGTAGTCATTTGTTTACTTCTATGTCATTTTTATCTTTTCTCTTTCAGAATTTAATAAATTTGCTAAAAGCAGGGGGTGTCCATTAGTGGAGGGATTGGGGCATCAGTGATATATTAGATGCAGCACAAATGATATGTGAAAAGGTTGTTTTATCGTGATACTCAATTTAATTATGATTATTGCTACTATCATATTTTTTTGTGTCTTCATCATCTTCGGCAGTTCCCCCTACATTAGCTATTGGCTTGAAATTATGCTACTTGGCCATGTAAACAGTTGAAGTGACAAGTGAAAGATCTGCTCTTTTAATACAGTGCCTTCGTCGGGTTAGTCCATTCTTCATTCCAAGGATATTAATCAACATGGCTTCTCGTCACATAGCATAAATATGGATTCCAGGTGTGTATGTAACCTTCAAATGCGATACTTTTAGGAGCTTATGACAACTTTAAGCCAGTCATGCAGCTAGTTTGTGCTGCTGTACTTTGCTTTCAGTAACTTGTTGAAAGGAGACTCAATTTCCTAGTGATCTCAGTCCCCTGTTACGTTCACTTTTATTAAATAACCCTTTTGAGCTTGGAATAGAACTTTTGTGGTTCTACAGTATAAATTATGAATTTCAAATGTTAGTCATTAGACTTTGTCTGGATTTTGTTAGCTACATGAAGTGTGGATTAATTATGGAAATTTCCTGGAATAATGCACAAATCTGGTAATGGACTCTCAATCAAGAATAAGGAAAACCCAGAACAAGGCTGGTAGCAAGAAGCTGTTACCTCATGCTTCCTTGTTTCAATTTCTTAACTAGTGCTTTTATAAGGTGGATGATATTCTTAAAAGAAAAACTTAGTTTGCTGAATCAGTCCTCGTCATACTTGGACAAAACCAGTTCTACCATGGTTGTGATATCTTTCGAAAAGTTGCTGTTGCACCGTGTAGTCATGTTTTTAAATATAGGGACCAAACCATGCTGCAGTGACCTGTTCTGCAACTGGTGCACATTCTATTGGTGATGCTACTAGAATGATTCAGTTTGGAGATTCAGATGTTACGGTTGCTGGGAGCACAGAGTCCAGCATTGATGCTTTATCAATTGCTGGATTTTTCAGGTAGTTATTAACCAAAATCATATGATGTTTCTAACTAAGAAAATTTCTTTCAAATACGTTATTTGTACCTTTCTTTAGATACTTGAACAGTATTTTGACCAGGAAACTCAAAAACAACCCTTGGTGATTTTTATAAAAGGGCTCTTGCCACTGTAGTGACTTGGAACTCTGGGGATTTCAGCCTAGACTTACTAATAATTTTTCTAGAATCCTTTTATTAAAGTTGCTAATTCTACCTTTTCTTGTTCTAGTTTTGAATGTTGTAATATATGTTTTATTTGTTTGGTATTCTATTCAGCTGATAATGATTCTATTTTGAATTATAGGTCTAGGACTTTGACTACAAATACAATTCTTCACCACTAGAAGCTTCAAGGCCTTTTGATTGTGATCGAGATGGGTTTGTGTAATTTTATTCCTTTTTTTTTTTTTGTCAAAAAATAAAATAAAATCTTTGTTGCCTGCCATTTGTTTTCCTGATATGTAACTTGATATTTGAGCTCAAGATTGGTGAAGGTTTTGGTGTCCTGGTATGAGAGGTGAGTTGAGTGATGCCTTTGTTCCAATTTCAGTCTCAATCTAAACTCATGACAAAAAGGCTTTTAATGGCTTTGCATTTTGCCAATTTTTTAAATCCCTCTTTTAATTTCCTTTTTAATGAAGGAACTAGAGCATGCCAAAAACTGAGGAGCAAAAATTTATGCAGAGGTTCGTGGCTATGGGATGTCAGGTTGCTTTTAATACCTAAAACTTTTAAACTACTATGGGCAGGTTATTTATTATTTATAACCATTGTTTTCTGAATATTATTATTATGATTTTTTTAGGTGATGCACATCACATTACTCAACCACATACTGATGGAAGAGGTGCTATTTTGGCAAAGACAC